CTGCACCCTAACCACTAGACCACTAGAGGCCCCACTAGAGGCCCCCACCCAAGGGTAATAAAAAGCAGTGAAGGAAAAATCCAAGCATATTTATCAGCAATAACAGTTATGCAAAAGTTGCAATAGGCTCTACTAACAAATTCTAAGATCCTTGTGACAGGGAAGAGAGGCAACAAAGCTCTTGTACTTCTCTTTAATTAGAGTATAGCTACTTCATGCAGACAAGCTGCTTCACTAAAAGACACAATACCATACAGTTAGTAGTAAAAAAAATTAAAGAGGAAAACGAAAAAAAAAAAAAGGAAAAGAAACATTCACAGTGAAGGAACTAGAACTGACATTTATTTGCCATGTGGCCCTGGATCCCAGGTGCATGAACCCCCTGCACACAGGTCTCTGTATTTTAGTCAGTCATATCTGTGAAATGATGCCAACACCCCTTACATTCTGCTCAAGAGCAAAAACAGCACAAGAGGCACAAGCACTTCCTACACCAGTAAGACATCCAATGAACAAATAGCTAGTGTTTATTAGGGAAAGTATGGATGAGTGTAGAACTATCATAAACAGAAAATAAAGAAAGATCAATGTCTAATATGTGTGTATGTATATATATAAATATATATATCAAATTTAGTGTTTCTCAACTGAACAGCAGATACACAAGATAAAACAAGTGATTTAGTCTCCTAGGGAAGTCAAAATTAAAAAGCTCTCCTTGCCTTACCTGTTGGTATTCCTTTTCCTTTGCCTTTATTTTCTGTTCTAAAGACTGACAAACACTCTCAGCATTTTGTCTTTGGCAGTTCAGTTCTTCTGACAATCTTTTCACCTTTTGCTCCATCATTTGGACCTATAATAATTTAGTTATCAAACAAAAGTGTTAAAGATGTAAGTTATGTTTCACTTAAATGTATAAGCACTCATATAAAAAAGACTGCTTTCAGCTACTGAATGTTTTAGCATTCATATAACCAGCATAACTTTAGCTGGTACCATATTAATTCTTAGCAATCCAAAAGATTAAGCTCATATTTGCTTATGTTAGTGAGAAAAAAAAAATATATATATATACAGACGCGATTAGAAAAACACCTTCAGAAAAACACTGTCTTTGACAGTCTACGGAAATATACTGTATCTGGCACTAAAAATAGACTATATTTTCAGTATCTCAGTTTGCTGCCAAATAAAGAATGACTGCTAACTGCTAAGCAACTACATGTTTAGATGGAAAATAACTCGACATTCCACTGAATTTCAGAGTGATTCAGCATGTTGATTTGGAAAGGGAAAAAAGAGGCAACTATCTTAGTGTTCCACAACAACAAAAGAGTGTTTTTCAAAATTTAAACTTTAATTAAAAAAAAAACCAACTCAGTAGCCTATCTTCTAGGCAACCTCCATGTTAAAAGTATGTCAGCTTCTTATCTAACTCACTTGATTATGTTAATATTATGTCACCCAACAGAGTGAAGCATTCCCCACCTAACTGCCTGAAAAGAAAAATTTATTTTTATTCCAAATTCAATCTGTTAAGGCAAAATATGTACTTTTTTCCCCCCAGAGAGTAAGAAAAACGGCAAAGGGTGAATGGGACTCTCTTTTTCCAGCCACAAGAGCTGTTTAATGAGTTAGTGAAACAGCAGTCATAAGAAAATAAGAACCAGGTAGTAGTATTGGGATGTCAGGTTATTAGACACAGGCTGCAGGGATCATGAGCTCCTGTAAGGTAACATGGAAACTTGACTGCAGAAAGGCTGCAGACCTCTAAAGAAGTGAAAATACTTGATAACACAGAGGCGGTGCTGTGGTCAAGGTCTGTGAACAGCACCAGTGACAGACAAGTGCACAAGAGGCAAGCCAGTATTAAATTCAGGCTACAAGGCAGGAAACTAAAATCCAAAATCTCAGTGCTGTTCTACATCCAAAGTCCAGGGGATGCAGGCAGAGATCCAATTCCAATGCAAGAAAGAAGAAACAGAACAGTAAGGAGCCATCTTCAGATGGCAGGACCAAAGGAACCTTCTGGGGCAAGATGCTGCACTGCACCTCAGGGATGGACTGCATCTCAACTCAAATGGTGGCAATGCCACTCTTCCTTGTCCTTCTCCAGGCATGTTTCTAGCTCCATAACCCTGCCCCTTCCCTTTTGCTGGATTTAATCTCCTTTGATTCCTTAGTAAAACAATTCAGCTCTCTTAAACCTGTAGAAAACAAACAAGGCAAAACTAAATACATAATATCCTAATCCTTTAAGAAGTTGAATCAAGTCATCTGGGGAGTTAAATAAATGAAAATAAAGACTTTTGCAGAGAAATTGAGATGTCAGGTTGAGTCAGCTGTCTTCTCACAAGCTCACCATGATGACAGTGCCTTTATGAAGTCAATGGACTATGTCAAGAGTATGATTTTATCTTACTCCCAGCCAAGACTTCCCCTAAACAGAGCTAACAAATAGCCAAATGTTGATGTCTCTCTGAAAAGGCAGAGTGATCAAGGTTTACATGCAAACATGCAAAGGTTTTCTTTTTAAGGACCAATACAGGAGTTGTGTGAAGAAGAAGCTTACCAACATACTTCGGTAGCATGAAGAAACTTGCTGGCAAACATGGATAACAATTATTATACCCAGAGAAGATACACACAGAAACATCCTTTTCCCTATCCTGTAGATGAACCAAACTAGTGGGAAAAAAACCCTAAAAAGATAGATGGAAACACGGAGATTCGGGGAATTATGACATCTGTGTACTAATTTCAAATTTGTCAAGTGCTGTGAAAAAGGACTTTAGGTAGGTAATGCAACTTGATTAATCAACAAAAAGAGAAAACTTCTTACTTGTTACCTTCTGCAGTTTGAATTAAATTATTTTAAGCACTGGCATTCTCCTCTTCTTTGCATGATTATGAGCAAAAACCTGAACCATATCAGACTTCTTTTATACACAGATATCTTTTTATATATATATGCTCTTTGACTTAGCAAATTGTACTATCCTATTGGTTTTTCACTATTAATCCAAACTGCTTAGAATTAAGTTGTGAAATTCCATTTAGAAACTGCATCTATTCTCAATCTTGCATTGCATTTTTACCTAGACTTTATTTAACACAAGCAATTTACAGTACAAAGACTATGCCCCCACAACATCCTGTAGTAAAAGCAACAGATTCTGATTTTCACCGAAGTCGCATGACAGTCTCTTTCAGGCCAGAACTTGCCACCAGATGTCATTGTTGCTCTATGAAACTTGATCAGAAAATATTTTCAGAATTCAAGTCAGTCTTACCCGAGTATGAAAAATATTTCTTGAGGTCATGTAAGAACCTTCCAGAAAATGGGCGACTACTTACAAGTATTAATGTTTTTACAGGTAATACATATCAAAAGAACATATACTTCTCCAAACTTGATCCTCAGCAAATGCTCAAGAAACTTAAGTCTTGAGAACCTTGGTTCTTACTAAAATGGCTGAAAACTGACACACATGAACACTGGCAATGAATTGTAAGGACAGACAGATGTGTAATGCAGCATTTTACCTGTGTGGTAGCTTGATCCAGTTGTGTTCTCATTTGAGTCAGTTTATCTCTGGTTTTGTTCAGAGCTTTATCCTTCTCTGTTAATTCTAACTTCATTCTGTCCAGCTCCAGTTCAGTCTCTTGATGTTTATTCACATGGGATCTGTTCACTTTTTCTTGAGCTTGCAGTTGTTGTTCAAGGTCTTTAATAGTGGAATTTAGCTCTGAATTTTAAAACAGTAAAAATTAAAGATACTTTCTGCTTTGGAAGGTATGTCTTCCACGTACTCAAATTTCCAAGCATCTTACACCTTCTAAAATATTTAGTATATTTGATAAGTACCCAAGTTCCTGACACAGGCAGACACCCTCTAAAATGTTCAGCAAGTTAAAACAAAAATTTTAACTGCCTTCTACTACTACATGAATGACTAAAACTATAAAGATTTAAAGAGAGCTGACTCTAAATCAGTAATTCCCACTTTGTGAGAACACAGTAACATGCAAGCTTAGGAACAAATGCTGCAAAGACAAAGACAATTTGTTCCTCTGCTGGTGTGGTTTTTTTTGGTTTTGTTCCTGGTTTTAAACATGCAGAAACATGTCATTTGACATAACTATTATATTTTTTTATTATTTTTAAAAGGAAAGATATCCACTACAAACATTTGTTTGGGGCAACTGTGAGTCTTTGCTTCCAGAAAACTTTTCAAATATCGGGCATCTATAAATGCATTATTTCATATTTCAATCTTTTTCATGTCTCAAAGCTAAACCAAGTAGTCTTGTCACAATATATATCAGTAAGAGTTTATCTTATCTTCCAAAAGCCATAACATAATTTACAGTAGAAATCATAAGTCAGCTACATGGAGCATTAGTTATACGGAATTATTTTCGTTTTTTTCGTAATTAATTTTCCTTTGTTAAAAAAATTCCTGTCTTCCTGTTTCTGAGTTTATATAGCTTCCAAGTTGAAAATGTCACCTAAATTATTGTATGTGTAGGTATTTGAATGAACAGTTTGGAGAGTACAGAAACAGTTAGTACAAAAGCTGTCCAAAGAGTCTAAACAGTAGGCTTAAGCAAATGTTCACCTAATCCACAAGAAAACAACTATTTTCTCCCTTACAACTATCAGATATCAGGAATGAGAATTCCTTCATGTCATATGTGCAATACAAGACCATATCTTGCTTTTTCGTTGTACTTTTTGCATCATACTTTATTTTGTACTTCCAGTAGCATCCCTTATGAATCAACTCAGTTATGCATTAAGCATGTTCAAACACTGAATTTTTAATATAATTATTGCTTAGCCATAAATCTCAATAGTATACAAAATTAAGGAAGCAATGTGATAGAACTTAACAGGAAAATGTAATGATATTCTGAAAAGTGTTCTGTTTTAAGAGAATTGCTCCATGAGCAGTGGGATTAATGGAGAAGGATATTTTTCCTTTTAGATGATGTCCCCTACTAACCCCAAAAATACAAACTGCTCCCTTCTAGTTCTCACACCCTTTATGTAGAAGATACCACAGCTTGTAGATAAGCTCTGAGCACTGGTTGATCACTGACAATAAACACACCAGCAGCCAACAGGGCCAGCTGCCAAAGGCAACAACAAGTATCTTTCTCTTTTCCTTGCTAAAGCACTCATTTCAATACCTCGCTTCTATCCACACACCAGCTTTCATGAAACCATATGGGAGACTGCCACTGGGTCTTGAAGAAATAAATCAGATACCTTGGTTCTGTGCTTTTAGCTGAATCACGAGCGAAGAATTACAATTCTCAAAAAAGCTGTTGTCAAACTCATTCTTCTCTGATATTATACTAGAATTCGTTTCTTTTTCCCCTAGAAAAGAGGATGCTGCAGAACTTCCCCTTGCAGGTGTTTCTCGATTTCTAGATGGTGTCTTTTCTTGTTGCCATGAAAACACAGATGAGGAAGCCTGATGCCGAGCAATCTCTCTGTGACTCAGAGAGCTTTGAGAATGAGGCTGATTTATTTTCTGTGTCCAAAAAAGAAAAGGATGCACCTTTACATATGTTTCTATATCTAACACATAACTAAATAACTAATTTATTATTAAGTAGCTAATAGGTCATCATCATTTCATGTTGTTGCACTGTCACATCATCCACCAATGCAAACTACTGATTCACGTAATTATTTTTTATGCTATATAAATTAAATAACTTTAGCCCAAGTATCCAAGGATAGCTGATACTTGTAAACACAAACCAGGATCTCCAGAAAAGTAGTTTTACCTGTATATCTTTATAAGTGAAGTACACAGATTTTTGTCTTTTTCAAGAGATATCCCATTGTTCACATCCTAAATTTTTCAAAATTGAAGCCTATGTTTTTGCAAGCAAGTACTGACACAAGTAAGATGCAAAAAAGTGAAGTCTGAACTAACATATCTGATATCTTACCCACATTTATTTCTTCTGGGCAAACACAGGTAAATTCAAAACAGATTAATTTATTTAAACTTATAAACACAGAGTACCCCAAAACTGCAAGAATAAAATACGCCAGGTACCAGCTTGCAACCTCTTCCCATAGAAAAATTAAACAGAGCCAAAATAGTAGGGTTTTTTCTCCTTCTTAAATGCAAAAAAAAAGAACAAAAAATCCACCAAACCAACAAAACCTCGAACAGTAAAGACCCTATTGAATTTTTACTGGATTTTCAAATGCCTCTTATTTGAATTACTTTTTTTTCTTAAACTAAACCCCTAAACCATGTAATACCCAGTGTGACTTCTCAGTGCAATGACAGAATATAGTGTTATCTAGGAAAAATTGTGCCAAGACCAGAAATCTACATTATATTGTCCAGAATGCTGTGTCCAATCCTGTAAAGTAACTTATTAACAGATAAAGAGCATAAAAACCTAACCATGCATGCAGTAATCATTTCCCTTATACGCCATTTAAATTTACAGATTTTCTGAGACAAAAGTTTGAATCCAGGAAATTAATGGGGAAATTGATACTCATTTTTACTGAAATACTTCATGTGTGCTTTCTTTTTTGGACCTATTTGTATTTTGGTCTTTTTACAATACTCTTTGATGAAGAGTTCTGCCATGTAACACAGTGTTATAAAATAGGATTTGTTCTGAGCATGCAGAGCAGGTACTTTATGCCTTATGAAAAGTAGGAAAATGACCATTCCCTGTTTCCTCTCTTGATCCTCACTCCTCTTTGTACCATCCATTTGTACCATGTGTTTGGAGATGAGAGGAACAAATTGGCAAGGAATATTCAAGATGTGAGGGCCATTTGGTTACATATGGACAAAGAATATTTTCTCATTAGTTCTTAATGCTTTCCCTAAAAAATTCTCTCTCATTATTGCTGAACACAATATTGAAGTATTCAGAGAACTGGCCACAATGACTACTGAAATGTTTCCTGGAATCATGTGGTTAGATTTGGAATCTGAATGTATCAAGTATTCATTTTTCAAATTATATTTTCCATATGCATTACTTTACTTTTTTTTTTTAAGCCAAATTTTACTTGCCATCTTAATTATTGCAATTATTTAGTGTTGCAAAATACTGTGTGGTCTTTAACCATATTATTCGACTCTTTTTCAGAACGCTAATGAATATGTTGAGTAGCACAGTTCTCTTTACCAAGCCTTTTCAGGCTCCTCTGTTGATCATTCCCCAGCTTTAAAAACTGACCATTTATTGCCACTGAGCTCGATCTTTAAATTTGCAAGATCTCCCCTTATCAAAATTTTTCCCTTTTATCAGTGTTTTGTGGATATCCAACAACATTATACTGAATCACACCTCACTCGTACATTCTCCGATTTATTCTTAAAAAAACTCAAAAGGCCTGAAAATATATGAGGTATGATTTCCCTTTGCCAGTAAACGGTTGATCTTTTCTCCATACACCACACCTACACAAGCACCAATAAACATAATGGTTCATGTTTCTAACAATTTGTCCAGGACAAAATGTTGGCCTGACTAAACTACATTTCCAGGAATCAGCACTGTAAATTATTTTTGTTGGTTTTTTTTAACGTCATCATCCTTGCCCCCTTCCAGTGACAAGAGAAGAATGAGGTAAATTGCAAATCACAGTGATTCAGTAGTCCCACACTGCAGTGCCCTATCAATTAATGAGTAAATATTCTCTGTATCTGGTGATTTTTTTTTAATTACTATTCATTTTATCAATCTAATTTAAAACTACTGATTTTTCAATTTGAAGCTATGCCACAGATTTAACCCCAGTGAAGAAAGGCTCCGATACAGAAAAGTTTTTAAACCTTTACATAGTAAATGCCAAATAAAAAATTATTTCCCATTTTCTGCAATGGCTTTTTCGTTGAGGGCTTTCACAACTTATTCATCTTGCTCTCGGAGATTAGCTAATACAGTTCCTCCTACCTATGTGCTTAAATGATTTATGTGTTTCTATTTTCTAGGTATGAATTATTTCTTTCAAGTTTTCAAGGCTATTTTATTACGCTATCATATTTAACTTGGCATAAGTGACCCTGTTTTCTCTCGTCCTTGCTTGCATGAGACTTCCAGTTTTTGAAGGATGAGTTCTCATTTTTAATGTCCTTCTTAACTATTCAAAGATGCTGGCTTTTCTGAATTCTCCAAGATTCCTTCCAAATGACAGTACACACAGATTATTTCTCTCTCTTTTTCTTTTTTTTTTTTAATTATAGTTTAGGTCATGTAGAATATATTTCACTAGGTTTCCACTTCATTTTCCAAGTTTACTCCATAGTTACTTTCTTAGATATCACACATACCATTCATAAGAGGTACTTACCTTAAGCTGGATGGTTCTCAGCTGTAATTCTAGTTCTTTATTTTCTTGTACTTTTTTCTTGTATTTTTCTTCTAGCTCTTCAAACTTAGCACCTACCAAGACATGATGTTTACTTCTCAAAATCTGCTTTAGTACATAGGTAATCTTTTCTAGCCTACTGCTATCACAGGAATTATAAAAATGAACAACTATCAGAACTGTCAGATCATGAGGAAGAAATTAACTGTATATACATCATGTTCGGTAATTTAGGATCTCAGTTACTATTAGAATGAAAACACAGCTGATAAAAGTAGGGGTCCAAGGTCAGAATTTCATTTTTTTTAATCCCTTTCTAAGAAATACAGGCACACATTAAAAAAACACAGAGGTGTTATGTTATATATATAAACGCACATATAGATTTCTTCTTTTCTCCTGAAGTTTTCCTATCAGCAGCTCAAAAGCATTAATATTGCTAAGAAATTACAAGAAAATAAGGCTGTATCTTTTCCTTGAGATTCCAAATTGATTTCCTTGATTTTTCAAATATAAGGAGAATTGGACAAAGAATTTTTTAGGATTGATCCTAAAAAGAGCTATAAGGTCACTCCCGAAGCCTCCTTTTCACCAGGCTAAACAACCCCAGGTTCTTCATCAGATTTGTGCTCCAGACCCTTCCCCAGCTCCATTGCCCTTCTCTGGACACACTCTAAAACCTCAATGTCTTGAAGTGAGAGGCCCAAAACTGAACACAGGATTTGAGGTGTGACCTCACCAGTGCCAAGTACAGGGGGACAATCCCTTCCCTAGTCCTGCTGGCCACAAGCCTTTGGTCTTCTTGGCCACCTGGGCACACTGCTGCCTCTCGTTCAGCTGTCAACCAGCACCCCCAGGTCCTTTTCTGCTAGGCAGCTTTCCAGACACTCTTCCCCAGCCTGTAGTGCTGCCTGAGGTTGTTATGACCCAAGTTTAGGACCCGGCACTCAGTCTTGTTGAATTTTATCCAACTGGCCTCAGCCCATCGATCCAGCCTGTCCAGATCCCTCTGCAGGGCCTTCTTGCCCTCAAGCAGATCAGCACTCCTGTCCAACTCAGTGTCATCTGTAAACTTGCTGAGGGTGAATTCGATTCTCTCACCCAGGTCTTGATAAAGGTATTAAACAGAACTCACCCCAATACTGAACACTGGGGAACAACACTAGTGACCAGCTGGATTTAACTCCATTCACCTCCACTCTCTGAGCCTGGTCAGCCAGCCAGTTTTTTAACCAATCCAGACAGGTTTTTTTACCCTTATGGGTCCCTTCCAACTTGAAATATTCTAGGATTCAATGCTCTTAATGAATTTAAAACTCCAGCTTTCAGAGGAAAAAAATCTCCCCAGGAATACAATTTTAAATAGTTATTTAAATAATGTTAATCTAATCCCCATTTCAGGAATGCCATGCTTAGTGGAATACTTGACGTTGCCACTAACTGCACTCCTTTTCAGGTATGTATAAAGAAAGTAAAAAGAATAAGAATGGAAGAGAGTACATCAGATTCCCCAATGGAGCAAGACTGAGATGCCAAACTCACAGAACGCTTGTTCACAGTCCAGAAAGAGGTAAACAGCATGTGCAATATTGAACACATCAAAGTTTCTCAGCATAGAAAGCATAAGGGTGTCTGGCTACGGAATACTTCTCCAGTTAAGGAAACTTCCTTTTGCTTTTCCAAGTATTCAAGTATTCATTCAAGTATCTTAAATCTATTTGATGTTGCTAATTTTAAGATAGAAGCGATGCTTTGAAATGGATAGTGTATAAATTGTGCAGGTTATCCTGCACAATAATAGCCCAAATAAAATATAAATTTCCAAGGGAATAAGACAAATGACTGTTGACTGCATTTCAGTTAAAGTACTTGTGGTACATGAAGAAAGAAACTTGCTCCCCACTACATGAAGGGAAGAGTTGACGCTAGAACAGGCATTCAAAAGATTGTTGCAGTCTGTTGATGGATGTTCCTATTATTCCATGTTCATCAATGTAGCAGTGAAAAGATGTAATATTTGTGATGTGTTCAATCTGCACTAATAATTTTTAAAATTGAAACCTGTGGTGCTACAAATTAGACACTCTCATAATAACCTGTATAATAGAGCCTAGGCAACTCAGTACAAGTGTAATGTTCAAAATACTCCACCTTCCAAGAAAACTGACAGTTAACTATTTGTGCTAGATGAAGAAAGGAATCATTTACCATTATTACTTTGAACTGGTGTTAAAGGAGCAGTAAAACTTTGCTGTGGAGTGCCACTGAGTGATACATCTCCTGCAGTCGATGTTTGCTGACTCCTCTCTAGCTCACATTTGTATCTGTTTAGGATAGAAGCAGAAGCACAAATTAATACTGGAAACTAAAAGGTCAATTGTCTTTTTTTTAAGATCTTAAAATACACTAACACATTATACAATTCTAAGAACTTAGTTTAAAGATCAAGTCAAAATACATCCACTGAAAATTTTTAGGTCGTGTAACACAGGAATACGAAGAATATATTTTATTTAGAGTTTCAACATATGTGATCAACTACATAGAAGTCAAAGTTAAAAAACAAAACCAAAGCCCAAGTAGATGAAAATCAGTTGGAACTGCTTCAGGTCTCACTGTATGAAGCTGCAGTCCAGCTAAACTAACCCTGACCCAAAGCACTGTAAACACTGAGATTATTAAAACACTTACTCTTCAGTAAACATCTTTATGGTAGGAAACACACAATGTATATGCTTATATGCTGTGTTCCAATACTATACACTGAGAAAACTATGCATACTTCATGAAAACGGAAGGCAATAACTCTCCACTTGACAGCGTAGTTTTCATGTATTCCATTTACATCACCACCAAAAACACCACAGCAGACCATGCACTCGAGGGACTTTAGTGAGCATGAAGAGTTACAAGCCCACCCAACGAAACCATATAACTATTTTAGAGGCTACATAGTAACTTTCATCCTCCTCAGCGAGCAGAGGCTGATAAGACAATAGTTCTAGGCTGTAGCCCATTGCATTAGTGACTCCACAACTTGCCTTTCCGTTTTCCCCTCTTTTACAGCACACCACCAAGAACTCCTCTCCCAGTAGACTGCCAGTTGGTATGAAGTGGCAAATTATCAGGTATCAGCATAAAACAAAATGCAGCCAAATACAAAACCAGAAACAACTGCCAATAACAAGCTACATGTAGTAACTGCTGATCTTTTGTAGTGGACAGCGCTGTAAAGTAATATAATAGGAAGGAGAGAACTCAGCAAACTGGACTTAATTTTGGGAATAGATAAGTGGAACCTGTATCTTTAACTCACAATCTCTTTGGCCCAACATTTGACAGGAGATACGGAAAACATTAGTGTGGTTCTAGCAACTCCATTGAATCTCACTAGATTCTTCATTGATGGATCCAGCAACTCCTTGCACAAAGTTGGTGTTTCCACGTGACACAAATTATTTTGTTGTATTATTTCTCACAGCAGTCAAACGTTTCAACTATCCTTACTTTTCCCAAAAAGGGGTAAAGAGAAAAAAGAAACCCAAACAGAAAGACCAACACAGCTTCCTCTTTATTTGTTTCTATTAGGACATGTATGAGGCATGCCATCCAAAAGTTAAAGGAAGCAGACATACCTCAGGACCTGAAAAAAAATGCAAACAAACCAGAAAACCAAAACCCACCAAACAGATATAAATACCCCAAGCCATCAAGAAAGCTGGTATCCCAGACTTACCCCTCCCTGTGGCAATAATTCTGCATTACTAGTGCTAGGACAATGGTTTATTGCATAGGCAGGACACTGAGCCTTATGACACACACTGTTTCAGAAATCCTTTTATTCAAGAATGGAGGGTGCCTCTAGTATGAGAGCAAGTTTAACAGATGAGAGCACTCCCTTCACTGTGTGCAAGTGCAAGGGATGGTAGATGTGTCTGCATTACAGAAGAGTCTTTTGTTGTATGAATCGCATTCTACCTCTACAGACAGTACACAAGACACTACCTCAGCAATAGCAGTGTTTACAAGTTGAGGTGTTATAAATTAGGCACCACTTTACCAAAGCAACTGGATTCTGTGACTCAGGCACAGGCCCATTACTTTTGGTAGCTTCCTCTTAGACTCCAATAGATGTTCATGCTTCCTTCTTTCAGTGCTCATGTTTTATTGGTAGACTTCACCTTACAGAGTGAATTTGCACGTACTTTCCTCACAACTCCAAGTTCTTTGCAGGTTATTTTTACCAAGTATCTCAGTTGTGCTAGCTTTTTTGTTTGTTAAAAAAAAACCAAAAAAAAAACCACAGAATGAATGGCTCTATTTTCACATGACACTGCAGAATTCTCTTGAATTAAACAGGAACTACAGGTACTAACTGCTTCAAGTGGTACAAAGGCTTCTGTAGAAGTCTGTATATGCATGTGTCTGTATAAAAAATATTTTGAGATTTCAGTCACAAATTTGAATGAAGTATGATATGAAGGGAAACTAAAAGACCATGAAAGACATACTAAACAATCAAAACATGTCAAAATAACCACTGTACATAGGTCCTCACCTTTTCAGTTCTTGTTCTAGCCTTTCAATGTCTTTCTTGCTGGAATTCAGCTGACCTGACTGAATGTTGACCTGAGATTCTTTTACTTGAAGATCATGTGAAATTTTCTGCTTTGCTTTCTCAAGATTATCACACAATTCCATCAAGCTCTGGTTTTCTCTTTTTAGTATTGCAGACTCATTTTTTTCATTTTCAACCTAGTTGGAATATAAAGACATCTTTGAGATTATAAAGTCCTCTCCATCCTTCTGTGCAATTACAATTATTTTAGTAACACAAAGTTTACATACTGTTATTTTCTTCCTAACATTTCAAAATCCTGACAGCTCTAAAAATCTTCAGATATACACTTTGTTTAAATATTTTCAGGTATGAAAAAACCCACATTTCCTAAAATTCAACTCAGTGACTTTAAAAATTTTTATTTATTTGACTAGACACAAACTTATCAAAAAACCCATTAGTCCGTAAAAACTAATAATCATTGTACAGTCCTTGTACAGTGAGTCAAGAGTCACAGCTTTGAAGATGGAGCCTGGCAGTAAAGATGTCCTTCTCCTCTCTGGAGAAGCATGTGAGGGGCAGGCTTCATTTTTGGCACAATGTTATTCTTTTGACTGAAAAATAGTGAGTATTAGCTGCTGCTTCTGAGAGTTTTAAAGCTTCTTTTTGTTTGGAGAACACAGCAGTTCCTTGGAATGGTTGAAGTAAGTACCTGGAAAGTCATGGGGAAGAAACTCAAAAGAAAACTACAATGTTTAAGACATTTGCTAGAAAGTTGTAGCAACCTAAACTAAATAAAAGGCAACCTTTCTAAATCACCTCTGAGCTGCAGTCAAATATTACAAAACAAAAACTGAACCAAATGGGTCACACTTGTCTGAAGCATGGCAGAACCCTGACCAAGAGGGTCTCTGGTTTCCTGGTTAGAGGGCTGACAGGGTAGAATCAGATGAGGTGTAAAAATATAGCCCTAAAAATGAAAAGTAACACCAAATTCCAAAACCCCAGTCTCTACAGGGAAAAAAAACAGGGAATTACATAAACCAAGTAATAGATTATAGGTATCTGTGGTCAAGGTGAAACAGGAAGACACTGCCAACTCTGCAGGTCTGTTATCTAAAGCAGGCCCACTCGTTATCAAGGTTTTTAATAGGCATAACAATAAAAAATTTATTTTCCCAGTCATAAAGAGCTGTAGGAAAACCTCAAAGTACACGTAAACACGTGGAGGTGGACAACCATGCCAGATAGGAAGAAGGAATTCTATTAACAATCAATGACAACTAAGCAAAGGGGAGAATATGACGAGTATGAGGTAAAATGAAGATAAACAGTTAATATTTCTATGTTACCTTTCCCATCAGTCAGTGGGAAGAAACAAAACACTAACCCATCCCCTAACAACAACCAGGTAATAAATCTTTATAACTGCATTTGGCATGCAGAATAGCATTTTAGGTTACCTTTTGTTTCTGTTTTTGCAAAGCTGCCTCCAAAGTCTCTAACTGGTATTGTCTTTGCTGGCGCTCCTTTTTAAGCTTATCGACTTGACTTTCCAGCTCATGGATCTTCTGAAGGACTCTGGGGGAGAGGCCTTCTTTCCATTCCTCCACAGCCCAGCTCATATTGACCAGATTCTTGTTTCCAACAACTATGCCTGAAACACAAAGACAGCTCACAATTAGACCTTCAAAAATATTAAATAAGCTTTACTTTTAAATTAATTGAACTTTTAAGCTTAGCAGCGATTAGAATGCAGCATTCCATAATCGTGCAGGCTTCCTGATCTAAACTTTAAATATTAGTGCTTTAAATAAAGCACCAACTTATAAATACTAAGTCCTATTTTGACACACTTGTACGCAGGCAGGGGGGGATTTTGAAGCCTCGCTTTAATCAACCTCCAACCTGCAACAGCGGGGTTTATACCCTTATAGCTGCGTTTGACAGCTGTATTTCAGAGAGCTTCTCTCCACGTCTTATATCGATGTTACAGAGCCAGCGCCGCTCACGCTGTACTTCGGTGGCATCTCAGCCTTGCGAAAACTCGCGGCTCTGTGAGGGGCGTCAGCGAAGGTTCTTTATTCCCAGAAGCCTTTCAAAGCAACGCGGATGAAACCGGGGCACCTCAGAGTAACTAAAACTAGAGACGACGACGGACAGGCGGACCGACCCCATCCAGGACCGGGGGGCTGCCTGTCACCCCCAGCCGTCCCCGAGCGCTCGCTCGCTCGCCCACTCACTCACTGTTAAATGCCGTCCGGAGCCTGGCGGCAGTGACCCAAGCTCCGGCGACTCGTGTCGCCGTCCCTGTCGGTGTCCGCGTCGGTGTCCGTGTCCCTGTCAGCGTCCCCGGTCCCGGCTCCCGCCGCACCTCAAACCCGCCGCCACCGCCCCGCGGCCGTTTGTGCCCGCCCCCCCACGGGGCCCTTAGAGCGCTGATTGGCCCGACTGCTACGCCGCTCGCCACGCCCCTTTCACCTTACCACCAATGAGAGCGCGCCGCTGGGACGCTGACCCTCACGACTGGCTGGTTCGGAAGCGTTCAAACTCCATTGGAGGCGGCGGCGCAGGGGCGGGGCGGCCCCGGAGGCTTTTTTGCCCGCAGTTGGGCGGGGCGGCCACGAAGGGCGGTGCCCACAGTTGGGCGGAGCGAGTGGCGGGGCGGGAAGGATGGAGCGAGGTTGGGATGGGGAGGAGGAAAGCGCAGCGGCTGTCGGGGTGTAACGATAGCGTCAGGCCTTTATCCAAACCCACTTTCCCGATCCCACAGAGAACGAAACGTGTCCCTGTGCTGTCTCGGTTATCACACGTTCACTGGGAAAGATCTGCGGAAGGATCCCGAAGTGTCTGCCTCAGCTGCTCTGGGGGATTGGGTTTGTTTTGGTTTTTAGTTTTTTGGGGCGGGGGAGGTAACTCAGCCCAATATTGCACATTTTCTACCCAGAAATATAAACATACAAAATTAGAACGCTTTTTGTAAGTGTGTTCTAACACGGAGCATAGAATCGAAATGGCAACAGCGAAGGCTGAAGGATTCTAAGTCTCCTATGAACTTCCCTGGGTATCTGTGGCTTGTTTTCCAAAGCCTCTGGCATTCCTCTCCCTGCCCCCTGACCGCCTCTCGGGGGGGGGGGGGGGGCTCGAGGGGTCAGATTTTAAGCACGGAGATCCTTTCCATCAGAATCCGTGAATTGTGATTCTGTGATCTGATTATCATTCCACCTAATTAAATGTCCTGCTTCTCGTAATTATTCTGAGACTATTTACTCAAGCACTGTTCTTTTAATCATATTTAGGAAACTGAGTTAAACAAATATTCCCTGATAAGTCAAACAGCTCACCAGTCGGCTGGTGAGAGCTCTGGTTATAAATAAATAAGTTACAACAAACTCACTAGCACATTGTTAGAAAATGTCCAAACCATCTCCAGAACAAAACAAGCCATCGGAATGATGGAACTGATCCATCATAAATACCTCTTCACAAACGACAATTAAAAAAAACCAAAACAAAACCAAAAAAAAAAAAGCCAAGCAAGCTAGAAAATTCCATGGTGAACTTTGTGCAGGCTGTTCACAGAACAGCAGTGGAGCAGGAACTAGTAGAAGAATGGAAATTCCTCACCAAGTACTCCCAAATAATTTGTGAAAGCTGAGGACCAGTCTGAACAGAAGGGGATCCCGCACTTGTCAAACAGCAAATGTTCTGTAAGAATTAAATGCTCACGTTATACTCAGTAAGTGTTTCTCATTTGACAGTAACAAATGTTACTTAATCAATTGTAGAAGCTGAAGAGTTTTCAGTTTCTACAGATGATATTGTACTGGGATCATTGACAGACAGGGAGCCCTAGCATTTAAACTAGTTCTTCATGATTAATCTCTCAGTGGAGGCTTCAGTGAAACAACTTCATCTTCCAAGATCAGTGTCATATTCTTCAGAAGGGGAAAAATGAGTAGAGACAGCCTTCAGAGTTCTTAAAAGGCATGAAAAATGGAAATCAGCTGGTGCATGCAGAGCTTTTTAAGATGCAGTCTGATTAATATCTGGATAACTGAGGCTAAAATGAAAAGGAACCTGACCACTGTTGTAAACTTAAATATGAGAAAACACTTGTTCTAAAGGTGATTTCTGAGAATTGTCAGGTTTGTACCAGGTTTCTGTAGGTAATGATTTACAAATTCATCCTTTCATATTTGGCAATTAACTATTGCAGCAATTAACTAATTATTATGAAAGATAAAAGAACTCATGAAGAGTACAGAAACTTGTTTTTTCTTTTGCCATATCAACCTTATTTTGTACAATAGCTTCATAAGTATCAAGATATTCATTATCAGATGTAAATATAAGAATAAAAGTACTAGTAAATATATGATTGAAGTATAAGATACAAAAATAAGGTCAAATATTCTGAAAAATTAATAGCAAGTTATAAAGCGTGTTAATAGCAACCATCAATTTGCCTAACACTTGTAATTATTTTCATTGCTCTCTACTGGATAGAATCCTTGAGGTCTTTCCAAGAGGCTCTCACAACTCCCTGCTTTAGAGTTCCCCATGATTTTGAGCAGAGAAAACTACCTCAGTTTTGTGAAGTGGCTTTTCTCTGTCCTTGAAATTCCATTCAGTTTTTGCCAAATGTTAAAAATCACCTGCGTTCCTTACTATAATTTTTGGTAAAGGGCCAGAACAGTAAGTAGAATACAAAAGCCACTAAAGGTTGAATTTGTATTGCTACAGCTTATGGAACAAAACCAGAAGGGAAAGAAAGGAAAAGAATGTCCAATGAGAAAATCTCACCCTGCTTGGATACTACAAGAAGCAGAAACCAGATGGAGCTTTTCCCCCATATTCTTCCCTGCCAGACTCAGAATCCATCAGGTAAAATCTATTTCATGTATGTGTATATATATAAATACGTATACACATGCACACACATCAAAGAGTTCCTAAGGAGCTGGAGCAATTCCTTTCACCCAGGGGAAAGATAAATAGGCCAGGCACTCTGTGTCTGATGGGGTTTTAGCTTCCCAGTTTCCCTGTCGAGGCACTAGAGACAGACACTCTGCCAGGCTGGGTGTGAAAGAGAAGAAAGACAGATCATTTTCCTTAGCCTCACCCAAACCCCACCCCATACTAAGTGATGCCTCTTGCCTCTGGAATACAACATTCTCCACCTCTGCCAGCATGGGTAGGTAACTAAGAAGATGGCAGTTTAGGTGTCAGTACTGGAGCTGCAAGGTTAAGTCTGCACAAATAAAGCCTAGTGAGCTACTGTTGTAAAACACTACATTTGATTGCTAATACACCCTTAGATTTCCTATTCTTCACGCAGTTTTTCACAGAACACATACCTTGTTTGGTGTACAGAATGAATGTAAAGGAGGGTGCCTTAGGGTGCATAGAGAACCTTACACCTTAGATTTCTTAACCATCTTTTGCTGTTAAAAGAGGTTGAAGTTACCTCACAGTCTTTTTTTCATAGTTTATTAACCAAACCAGGGACCACAGCATATCACAAATTATAAACTATAACTTTGTTCCCAAAGGAAATGAGGTGTTGCTCTAGTCAGGATTACAGTATTTCATACCTACTAATGGAAACTGCTACCAAAGTGCTAATGTTGACTCCAGCACTACAGGCACCTGGACGAACATATTAGTGCATAAAATACCTACAGCTGCTCTATTGTTTGGGATTGCATTGGCTAGTCCAGCCTACTAAACACCAGTGGGGAGGTGTCCTAGTACTGAGAAGGTGACTGAAGTTACCTGGCTTGTCTAAGGTGACACAGCACATGCAGGTGCTGGACAGGAACGCACAGGTACAGTTCCTGGCAGTTTAAAACACCTCAAGGCAATTTTGCCACATTCCCAATTTCCCTGCTGTCTCCCACCTGTGTGCTGCCACTGCTCCCTTATGACAATTTTGGTGCTGATTCGAACTGCCAGGTGAGATGGTTAAACAGGCAAGGGGTATCAAGCAATACCTTCCATGTAGCATCAGCAGGTATGCATATTTCATCTGCAAGCTGCTGCATTGTGTGATCAGATAAATGTCAGTCCCAGCTCAGCAGGTGGAAGGGGGATAAGCAGGAGAGAGTGGAGGGGGCTGTGGCGGCACCAGCTTAGATGAATTAAAATATTATGCAACAAGACCCTAAATTCCTGAGCTCTAATCCCTAAAACCTATCTGTCATAAATGACAGTAAGAAACCTTCCCACAGTACATGCATTCCTGTGTTTTATAACCAGTGTGTTTTACAAGTATAAAGCTATCTTACAGCGTCTGCTTTCCTTTACGTCTCTCACATATTTAGGGCAATTACTCTGAATAATCCTCATCACAGGAAAATGTTCTCTGACTTTGCATACAGTGTAGCATTATTGTGATTATTTTATTAATCTACAAACTTCTGCACAAGTGTTAACCTCTGAATTTAAAGCTGCTGAGCAGTTACACAGATAGACTCATTACAACAAGTAATAGTAAAATTATTTAACAACATAGAGGATTGAAAACAAGGGGGCTTCTCAGGTGATGTTAGTAAATGTTGGTTTAAAATGCGAATGTTACTTGTTTAACACTTCTTAGTATATGTAAAGGTGGAGGAAGAAAGCTTACATATAAAAAAAAATGTTTGTTATTTAAGTGCACGCATATTGTCTTGACCCGAAGAATGGTTTGCAGCTATAGCAACAGTTATAGTAATGAAAAAGTATTTATATTTTTCTTTCCTGTTCTTAAAGCACTATTTTCAAACATTATGAATACAGCCATTAGCATAATGCTTAAACAATTGATGTGCAATGAAGAAAATGATAAATAATTATAGCAATTACATTATGATATGACACGTCATGTCCATGTTGTCTAAGGCTTCAAATTACAAGTTACTGAACCATAAATGAAATTGGAATATTTTCTTTTTTTTTAATGGCAATTTCCCCCTCTTTATAGTTCTGCAGCCAACTAGAAATGGTGATACCAAGCAAATGTTTCACGCTACATATGTTAGCACAAAAAAATACATTCATGATACTATCAAATATTGTTATATCTTGTGGGCAATGAGTTTTCAGGTTTCAGGGGGCATTTGGTAACATGGGAACCTATTTCCTTTATGGCCCATTCCTCTCTGACTTTCATGAGTCCATAGCTTGCATCTCCTTTGGCCCCCATTTTTGTTAGGATTTGTACCCTTAACTACACACAAGGACATCTATTGTGACTATCAGTTTGTTCTAACTAGAGAGAAAAGCAGCTAACACACAAGTGTACTACATCTAAACTAAAAGGAATGTACCTTTCCTAGCCACCTCTGACTCTTTCCATCTTTACCACCACTTTTTTAAAACGGGAAATGTAGAAAATGCCCACTGGT